GGGGGGGGAGCAGGTAGTAAAGACCATAAGAGATATTCAAAAAGCAATGGAAACAGAAGTCCCAGCGGCGAGATGTGTGTGTGTATAAGTAGGGGAGGAGGAGGGTGGGCACATAAGGTTCACGCTCCTGCTCCAAAAGGCGGTTAGGTTAGGTTAAAATAAGATTAAGTATAGATTAAGTATAGATTAAGTATAGATGTAAGGAAATGTATGGCGAGAAGGAACAAACTTGTAACCCTAAAGGAAACAATAAATTAATTCATTCATTCATATGAAATAACATAAAATTTAATATTTTTTTATCAAAAATTTATTTTCTTACAAAACATACAAATTGGTGTTGTAATTATTATTTGTATGTATAATAACAATGTATATTTACTAGTAACATTTATATTTATACTTTATATGTGAACATTTAACAATGTATAATTATTTTTAAACTTCAAATATTCAATTAAAGTTTTATGAAAAAAAAACAATTTTCAATTTTTTAGATTAAAAATAAAATTCTAAAATAACTACACATACAATAACATCTCTCTTAACTGTAATATTAAATTAATAATATTTTAAAAATAAAATACTTTTAGGGACTTTGGATTACATATTTTAAATTAACATTCTTTAAAATAAAACATCTTTCGCTGTATGCGTAATAATTATATTTGCACAAAAATTGTATGTGTAAGTTTCTAAAACTTATTCAGAATCTGAAGTTTCAAATTTAAGAAACTTTCAAAAGTTTGCATTTTTCTTTTTCTATCTCTATTTGTTGCGCATGTCTGTTTTCTTTTTCTCTTAATTTTACTGTAAAATAATCCTTTCGTTCAATTTCTTTTTCTTTTAAAGCAATATGTTTTCTCTTTAATTTTAATGCTTCTTTCTTTTGTTCAAAAGTAGCTGCATGTTTCTCATCATTGAGTTTGTCACGCTCAGCTTTCATGTTCAAATATTCTAACCATTGGTTTTCTAGTGCAATTTTTGCTCTTGCTATATTAGATCCACTTCCATGCAATTTACGTTTCCTTGTACCTGTTTTACTTGACACAGACGTAGAAATTTGCACATTTTTATTGGAACAATTTTCTAATAAAACGGCAGGATCATTTGAAACAGTTATTGTTGTAGAAGATTTTGAAGTAGAAGACTTTAAAGCAGAAGATGTCAAAGTAGAATCAAATTTTTGTGCCAATGAAGTTGAAGAGTTTGACATTATATGAGGAAAACCAGACAACATAGTATGTATTGCAGTAGCATTTTTTTGTTTACCAAAGATTTCATCCATTTGATCAAACCATTCAAAAGTCATTGGGTTTCTTCCTGATTTGGAATTATTATCAACACACTCTTTGTATTTTTTTGTCAAAGCATTTATTTTCCAACGCACTTGATCTACAGACATCTAAAAAATATAAAATCAATTATTATTTATGTACGACTTTACAACTACATAAGTAAAGAATTTATAAAATAATTTATTTAAAGAATTTGTACGTTTATATTGTATACCTGTATGCCAAAATCTTGTTGTAAATCAGCAGATATACTTTCCCAGATTTTGGTTTTTTTGGATTATCTAGCATATCTTTTTTAACTTCATACAAACTAAGAAGTGCTAATGTAGCACTTTTATCCCAGACAGCAGCTATAAAATAATACTTACGATATAACTTTCTTCATTAGTAAACTGAACAAAGGATAAAGTTTTTTTTACAATTAATTTTGAATATTATATTAAACAATAAAATTAATTATATATATAAAAGTTTTATATTTCTAAAAAATTGATGCTTACGTTGTTTATTTACATTTACATGTTCTAAATTGGAAGACATATTTATGAATTCTGAAATGGAAGACATATTTCTGGATTCTGAAATGGAAGATATATTTCTGAATTCTAAAAATAAATTATTTTCAGAATCCATAAATATGTCTTTTCCAATAAAACATGAATGCTGTGCAGCATCATCCAGTGATATTATTTCATCACAATGTATGCACTTCATTTTCTTATTAATTTAGAACAAACTATGAAATCAATAACTTTGATTGAGTTGTTTCTTATTGTTTTAGCAGTATGTTCTCCTGTAATACATATAATGCATATGAAAGACAAATTGGAAACGAATGCAAATGTGATATGCATGCTGTATGTGTGTACCCACATAGAAATTGACATCCAGTGGATGTCCATCAAACCTCCAGAACTCCATAGGACGTCTATCTCCATTGTGGAAGTTAGATAGACGTCAGTAGTATGTTGGCAGGTATGGGCCGTCACAACAAACCCCCACCACCTACCCCGTCTAGGCCCCCCGCGGTGGGTCTGGCGCCAAAACATTCCCCCACTCCTCTCTGGACGGGAGTAGGGAAAAAAGATGGCGGCGTAACGGGTAAACAAGATGGGCGGATGTTGACAAGATGGCGGAAATTTTTATTTTTCCGAATTGAGAAAATCCAAACGGGGTTCGAACCTGGATCGCTGGATTTCTAGTCCTGGTCCTAGTCTGCTGGGCTACCTATAGATCTAATGAAATAAGTCGTAGGGTCGTATTTATGGCAGGCGCGGGATGACGTAAACTTTTTATTTTTTTCCGAATTGAGAAAATCCAAACCGGGTTCGAACCTGGATCGCTGGGTTTCTAGTCCTGGTCCTAGTCCGCATGGCTACCTATAGATCAAATGAAATAAGTCGTAGGGTCGTATTTATAGCTATGGGGCCTGGCAGGTATGGGACCTGGCAGGTATGGGGTATCAAAACAAACGACGTCACACAGTCGCCTCTAGTCCGTGAAGGGAAGGGACGTATTTATGGTGGAGCCGCGTCTACATGAGGTACCCCGGACTCTCAGGCAGGTATGGGACATCAAAACAAACGACGTCACACAGTCGCCTCTAGTCCGTGAAGGGAAGGGACGTATTTATGGTGGAGCCGTGTTACGTATGGCGACTCCACCTAAAGTCAACCATACTCTACTCTCTACATTTTT